GAGACAGTGGAGACCTTACCCACTGTGGCTGCATTCTTGAGTTAACAAGGGTCCTTTTGGTTAAAGTAATGATCACACTTTGATGCTAAGCTGTCAGATCTGTTATTTTTTTTTTTCTTTTGAAAAACTTCAAGCATAAAGGAAAAGGACACAGACTACCATGATCCTCCATGAGTAGCAATCACCTAGCTTTGTCAAATCTGTTAACAAGTTGCTGTATTTCCTTCAGATCTTTTTTTCCATTTTATATATGGCTGAAGCCCCAAGTGTAGACCTACCTCTGAGACTCCATTCCCTTCTTTCATCCCCAGAGAAAGACACTAACTTGAATTAGAGAATTATTATTCCCATGAATACTATCCTACATTTACCACTATTTCATCCTCTAAAAACAATATGAATACTTCAAAAAGTTCATGGAAAGATTTGTACTATCTTTTAATTCTATTTTTCCATGAACTTTTTGAAGTACCCTCTTATATATAGTATTATCTTGCTTTTTATAAAATTTCAAATAATATAGAACTATACTATCATTTTGCAACTCATTTTTCATTTTAACGTTTAACATAGATCCATTTGTCTCATATAGTTCTACTTCATTCACTTTATCTGCTTTACAATATCCATTACATGAATACACCGTAATTTTATACACATTCTACTGACAGACCTTTAGGTTTTATTTTTGCTTTCAGCAAAACTGTAACCACACAATCTTTGAAAGGAAGAGTTAAATATTAGTCCTGGAATCTAATCTCTTAGCAGGAAGGGAGAAATTAAGAGAAGGTACCCATACTCTAAAATGGAGACTGCTCTACAAATACCCCAGACAGACCCAATTCAATAATTCTTCCTCATATAATATACCCACTAGTACATACACACAGAAACCTTTCATGTCCACAACAAGCTTCAATTTCAACTTCTTCCCTAGTACGACTCTGCTCCTTTTACCCTTCCTGTTTTATCTTACAAGCAACGCTGAAATAATCACAAATATCAAAAACCACTAAACTACTAAAATTTTTTTACTTGTCTTTCACACGTTCTATTTGCTTTTAGTCTCTTCCTTCCCCACCTCATCCCCTGCTGTTTGGCTTCAAAAGTTTCACAAACATGCACACAAGAATCACAGGATTCCTCCACTTCCATGACTACCTTCAACTAGGCTCACCTTCTGATGTGAGCTGACACGTAACCTTTAAACTATTAAAAATACTGCAGTATTTATATGTTTACCAATTAAATACATTTGCCTATTCATAATGATGTCTGCTTTTCTAATTAAAAGAACTATTAAAAATACTGCAGTATTTTATGTTTACCAATTAAATACATTTGCCTATTCATAATGATGTCTGCTTTTCTAATTAAAAGAGAGTGTCTACACAATAAAACTACTACTAAGGTACTTGGAATGTGGTATTTGCACATCACTTGGCATTATCTTACAATTTGACTACTTTAAAACTTTTATTTTTTGTTTGTTTGTTTTATCATTATATAATGTAAACATTTTTTGTGTCCCTTTACTAATTACTCCCTAACCTCCCACCCACCCCATTTCCCACCTCTGGTAGCCTCAGTTCTATTTTCTCCATTTGAAAGT